TTATGTGGTAGACCAACACAAGGCTATGCATAATTGGAACATGCACGGAAAATTACACTGGGTTTTCTTTCTTTTTTTTTTACTATTAAAAGTGTGAAAAGTTTGGAATACATTCGTGTTCATCACCCGTGAATCAGTCATTTGTACTGCACATTTCACTACCTAGCTGCAGGTCTTTCAGGGGTCTTCTGTTCTAGCTTTTCACATTTAAAGAGTAAAAAAAACAAGTTTGCAGGGTTAAGGTTATTGTCAAGCTGAAGAATCTCTGCTCCATGTCAACAGGTTTTCTTGAGTACAGTTCTGTAGCTACATAGATCTGAAGAGAGACTCATCAGGGCTAACCTTCTAGGTTGAGGAGAAGGGCAGCTCACATCTTTGCAGACCTCACACATTCTGGAAACTATTTGGACATTTACCTTTGGGTCATGGCTACAAAACATTGTTTTTAAAAACCAGCCATCACAGAGTTAGCTTCCTCCCCGTTCATTCTGACCAGCTTCCGTGTCTGGTGGGAAAACGAGCTTCCTCACAGCATGATTCCAGCAGCATGTTTCACCGTGAGGAAGGTGTGTTCACAGTGACGTGGTGATGCATACCACTTTTTTTTCTATTGTAATTTTATTTCACTTCACAGTTATGTGTTAATTTGTTTTTGTTCTATAAAATCTTGATAAAATCCATTTAAGTGCGTCGGTGTAACATGAACATTTAGAGAACTACAGATATTTTTGCAAAGCACTGTGCTTAGTTTGGCTATTAGTACCTCTCCCCTCGGAAACTCTTGATACTTTCAACCTTGTTCTAGTTGCATGGCCAGACACACATGTAATGTTTTATTCTGGTCAAAGTTCTGTTTCACGTCTCAGAGGATAATTCCTCTGGTATGTCAGTGTCTGTCTCTCTCTGAATGTTTTCAGGCATTGAGATCATGTGTATCTACAAGTATGGATCAGTGGTAAGAGCTGTGCTATTTCTATACTCTGCAACGCTCCATTCGGCGTCTGATAAAGGACAAACTCAAGTCTCAGAATGTTTACAGTAGCTGTGTGTGGAGTGATCATTTTTAGGAAGTGGATTAACTGCATTTTCATTGGTTATGTTTGTGTATCCATCCCTGTTTTATTTGTAAATCATTCTTGAACATAAAACCACATTGAATATGTGTGCATTGGGGAGATTTTGTGTAATTGAGTGGTTTCTCCGCAGTCAATGTCATTTGAAGCCCACAGTCTGACCGTCCCAAGCGTTATGTGGCTTGGCCTTCTCCCTTCTGACCTGCAGAGGTTTGGAATCACAATTTGCTACTTCCTATTTCCTCCTCCTGCCTCCAATTGGAATTATATTCAGAGGACATTTAGATTGTTTGTTTTGGTTTCAGTTGCTGTTTACCTCTTTTTTTCCCCTCAAGGGACTGCACTTGAGACTGTATGGCATTTTAAGTATACATCAGTTTCAACAAATTTAGGGGGGAAAAAAAGCTTTTTGAGATGTATTTAATTGTAGTCTGCATCTTTTTCTTGTTTTCTTTCTCTGACCTAATTCCTTATTTTGTGCCTTACAAATCCAGAAATGTTTGGCTGAAGAAATAGTTTTAGGTGATTACGCCAATTAGTAATGTGACATTAAAATTACTTGCCTTAGGTTAAGGGTTCCTGAGGATTCCCTGATTCCTCTAACCAAGGCAGATGAAAACAAGCTCAACAGTCTGCTGAAGAGGCCGTACTTAACCAGCCAACCAGACTGGTCCAAAGAGGTGAGTGAAAATAAAGTGCAGCAAAAGAGAAAAACAAACTTTTTTTTTTTTCCTTTTAAGTTATTTAGCCTCACATTAAATTAGGTGTATTGGTAAAACATTCAACTCAGCATGTGATTCCAATAAACAAATCAAATAAGGCAATTTGAATAGCTCAGCACAACTAATTTTGCAACTGAGCCAACTGCTGTGTAAAGGTCGTCAGTTCAATAAAGTTCTTGGGTTTGTTTGGTGCAGCCTCCTTTTTTAAATTAAAGGAAAGAGTTTAAATGAAATTTAGACAACTACGATGGCCATTTTGTCATCCAACACATCCCTTTTCTCTCAAGGGGTGTGTTGGTGGATTTTGAAGTGTGCTTGGGATCACTGTCCTGCTGATGGATCGAATGAAGGCCAAACTTCAACTTCCACACTGACACCAGGTGACTCCAAGTGCGTTTTAATAGTCTGTTAAATCCATGTTTTCCCCCAAGCTACAGGCTTTACTGAGGCGCCATCATAGCTCATTGTAAGCATAGTGGAAACGATTTTAATGTGTCTTCGTTCTTCCTCCTTGAGACATAGCGCTAATCCTCAGTCCTGACAAGTTCCAGGGTTTTTTTTCACCATCCGACTGAACCTATTCTCAGCTGGAACTAACTATTTTGTTTCAATAGTGCTGTGCGCCATCGATATCTTCCCCTTTAAGCTACGTTCATGTAGAGTAGCCACTGTTTCATTAACTTAATCATCCGGACCGCATCTTCGGGAAAACGTAGGGCTTTTGCTAACCATTTGCATTATTTTGCCATTTTCTGGTCTTCTCTGAATGGTTAAATAATGCTCTTGACTTAGCTTTACTTCTAATATTAGTTGATTTCTTTAAGCCTTTGTGGTTTGCACCAGGTGTGTCTTAGACCAGACCTGATTTGCAAATTTAAGGACTGCTTTGGTGAAATTTGTTTGGTTTAAGTTTTGAATCTAGATTTAAAATAATTAATACTTAATATGTGTTATATTGCTTACTTATGCAGTTCATTTGTACTTTGTTTATTGCAAACACCTGCTTTTTTATTTTACTAATATACCTAATTTCCATTAGAGAGTCATTCTAGAACAGAAAAAATCTGGTCTAACTACTTCTGTTTGCACATCTAAATAATTCTGTAGAACAAGTTCATCAAAAAAAAAAACAATTTAAAACAATAGGTATATGTTAGGAAGCTGGTGCAAGTAATCTTACTGTTTTTTAAAAGGACAAAGTCCTTCAGAGTTTTGAGCTTTTCTTATGTGACACATTACCAAGGAATGTGTGTGAGAGGATAAAAATTAAACATGTTTGTACAGCTTCCTCTTCCATACCTCTTTAAAGTTGTTTGCTTGCCTGTTGTAGATTGAGCTGATGCAGCAGAGTAAAGTTAAGGCTGAACTACAGTCCTTGTCCTCCATAGCTCCAGACTTCCTCACCAACATCTATCTGCCTAATAAGCTTCGATATGGTGGCTGGGTATGAACACTGGTTCTGCTTAGAGGAATAGCTGGTACTGGTACTGTGAAGTCATTTTCAAATAGGTTCTGTATCTGTTCTGCTGTATCTTATTGAATGGATTAGAAAATGATTTAAGGTCATTGTGTTTGCAGCTTTTAAATGTGCCTATTATTGCATGTGTGTTTAGAGTGTGATTTGTATAGTTTGTTGTGATGTGCTTTCATAAAGCAATATTCTCCTAATGCATAAGAAATGTATGGATACTGTCTGTGTATCATCTGATAAGTTTTAGTTGTGGACTGTGTGTATTCATATATTCAATGACAAAATAGGAAATCCATTTGTTTTAATAAATAGCACCTATCATCCTTTGCACATTTTTTCTTGTACAAAGAAATAAATCAACCCACAATTTAAGCATACTTTATTTTCAAAACTGTTTTATCTTTTTTCTTTCAAAATGAACTATTTGTATTGTTTATTTCAGTGTAAAGAAATTTGATAATTTATTTATTTTGAAGAAAATAAATGCATTAAGGAAAATTAAGAAAATGGAATTGTGGTTAAAATAACAGCAAATTTCCTTTATATTTTAAACCTATCTAGCTGACGTGAGTGACTTTTGCCAAGCACAATAGCTCCACCTGCTGGCACATTTTAAAATTTCGTTGATTAAATTCAAAAATCAGTTTGACGAGGTACGTCACTATTATGCAAAGATGTACCTGGTTTAAAACTCAAAAGCAGGAATCTGCTTATTTCCAGTGTTCTTGTAAAATATTAGCAAACACCCTTTTATAGTGTGGGAACATTTAGTAAAAATAGCTCCTCCAGTTAACACCTTGAAATATTTTGTTAAGCCAATTCAGAAACGGATTTTTTCTTTCAGTAAACTAAAACCGAGTTTTTAAATTTTAAAAGTAAAAGAACAAAATAATCAGCAACTTTTTTTGTAAGCAGGCAACATTTACTGACATTTACGGGAAAAGAAATAAGCTTTTACAGTGTTGTACTTCATTTTTCTCAAATAAAAAAAAAATTATATGATTTTCGTTTCAAATAGTCACCAGTATTCCTTTTACTATGGCAAAAAAATAAAATGAAGGATCTTACTAGACGCGCATCACCGCCCCCTGGCGGTAGCCAAGGGAAGAGTGCATGACTCCTTTCGCAATACAACATCGTAACTGTAATGTCCCCTGCAGGAGTTTTTCATCGGAAAAAAAAAAATAAAAAAATAAAAACTGATTCAGCCAAACCAGAACTACCAGGTGAGTCAGTTCCAGAAGAAATGATAGAATGTTGTCAGGGTAGTTTATACTGAACAACAGACGGAATCAGTGTGCTGTTTATATATTCTTAAAAACTAGCATGTAAAGCTAAAATTCCAGGAATTGGAAGTGTCCCATTTAAAATAATATATTGCTCATTCCAATTTAATTCCATCTATTAATCTATAATAGAAACAACTTGATGGTTTGGAAGGTTTTTGTCAGAAATAAATTATTAAATGTGTTAAAGGTACAGCTGAGTTAACTGCGATAACAAGGTTGATTTGTGATCGTGCCAAAAGAACTTTATTCATTCTTAGTTTATTCTCAGTGGTTTCTCAGAGACACGTCCACTTCACCTTTTGTGTCCAACAGTAATCGGATAACTGGAAGTCGGTTGTAAATTGATCATTTACATATAATTACAATGTATGATACTTAATGGAAAAAGTGGGCTCTGTTATTCAAACTAACTTGTAGTTTTTACTGCTGTGTTTATAGGCCAAAATGATAAAAAGTTACTATTGGATCATGCATCGTCTGATCCAACCAGGTTGGTAGTTCCAAATGCCCGTTCCTGTCTGTAGAGATGATACAGGAAAAGAGTAAGATTATAAGAGAGGTACAAGAAGATGTCCAGGAGATACACTCATACCACACAGGTACGGAGACTCCACTTCGACTTTCATTTGATTTAATGAGGTAACTGTGTGATTTGACAAATGTTATTGTTTATTCATTATTATAACATTAGTGCACATGTCAAATGCATCTCTGAAAATTGGAACACTATTCAAAGGTTAATTTATTACTTTAACTCAAAAAGGAAAACTCATTAATAAATACATTACACAAAGAATGATGTATTTTATGGAGTTTATTTCTAGTAATGTTAATACGTTCAACACTTGGTGAAAACCCACAAGTCAGTGTATCAGAAAATGATAATGTTATGCGAGAATACAAGAAAATTCATGTCTATTTTAGAAATGTCAGCCTATTGAAGAGTATGTGCTTGCAGTTTAAGCCCTCATTACTTGGCCGAGGCTCTTTTTCATGAATAACTGCATTATAGTGTGAAGGCGACCAGCCTGTAGCTCTGCTCATGTGTTAAGAAAGTCCAGATTGCCTCAGCAGTCTTCAGCTCCTCTACAGTTGGGGAGTCTGTCCTTCATCTTCCTTCCGACAATACTTCATATGTTTTTTCTGGGGCTTAGGTGAACATAATTTCCTGTGATTCAATCAGTTGTTAGTACTTTTGGCAGTTTGCTGGGACCATAATGTGCTGGAGAATTTAATCAGCATCTCTATAAAGCTTGTCAGCAGAGGGTAACTTGGCATGCTTTAAAATTCCCATATTCCATAAATCCTACACAGAGCAGCTCAGTACTAAACAGGGAACTGCCCACAATTAATCAATAACAGTGAAATACAGGATCTGCTCTCATAAAAACAAATCCAAACTCGAGACTTTTTCTGATCATGAGCATCAACGGCTGATAGGTGCATCATTGTGTTCATTAGCTAGTGCACAGCAATGTAGATGAAAACATTTTTTTTAAACTTGAAAACTGTTTTTAATTATCAGTCACAAATTTTGTTGTAGAAGAGAAGCCTTTTATACCAAACATCCCACATGCTGAAGGATAATCTCCCAGCAGGTAAACCTAATTATTTATGATAGTTATTTTAGAAAAAAAAAAATGCCCTGAATAAAACCCTTTACTTTTCAGTTCTTTTGTTTTCTTTTTTTGTCAAAGTTGAAACATTTCAATATGACAGATTTTTATTTTATTTTTTTATTTAAAAAAAAAAAGAAAAAAAAGATTGAAAGCAAGAAAACAGATCACACACACAAAGGATGCATCACTGCTGTTCAAGTCTGGTTTCGTTGCCAATGGCTCCACTTTATTTACTCTGGGGAAAATGCTACCAGGTGATTTCACTTTGCATCTTTAGTACCTTGCAAAAGTAACCATACCGTTGGGACTTTTCAGTACTTTTTTCCCATTACAGCCACAAACCTCAACGTATTTTTCCTGGGATATGAAGTGAAAGACAAATACAAAATAGCAGGTAATTATGAAGCGGAAGGAAAAGATTTTATGGTTTATTTTTTTAAAATAAAAATTTAAGAAGTAAGCAATGCATTTGGGTATGAGAGTAATTGAGGGGTACTCTCATACCCCTCAATTACAACTAATTAGCACATAATTAATTTTAATCTCAGTATTAATGTTATTCTTTTACGCAGCCTCAAGTGGTTTATTAGATAACATTAGATCAGGTATAAAGTTATAGAGATGTTCAAAGCAGGGTTACAGTATAAAACAGCATCCCATGCTTTCAAGATCCCATGGTACGCTGTTCTCACTGAATACCTAGCTACTGTTGTTATGTGATCAACAAAATTTTACTGGTTGTATTTAAATCCGAATCTGTCAATATGGGTTAGGTTGTACTGGGATGAAGTGGATTGAGATACTTCAGTTAGCAATGAATTCAACCAGCGCTTTGAATTTGCATTTGTTGTAAATTGGCATAATAAAAATGAAATGAATTGAACTGAGCTGACCTAAAGTTAGTTATTCATGGTGCCGCTGTTCTCTCTGCCCTGTTGCAGCAACTGCTTCTTTATTGTCAAGGCTTAGTATATAATCCTTCCCTGTTAGTAATATTGTTTCCTTTATTATAAAATATTGCACAATCTGATTCCTTGTTTTTAAAGAATTAGGTGTGTCAGTAACTTCATACTGATGATGTGATGCAATAATAGTGTTCCATTAAGATTGCGTTGTGTTACTTTGTTGAGAAATATCACACACTCACATGATCTGAAACCAACAATAACATGAAGCCAGAGCACATCTAACTAACTGGGTTATTAGTTTTGTATGCTCTACGTTATTGCATATCTAAACTGGTTTAGATTAACAATAAAGTTCTCCTGATATTCATATTTTCTTATTTTATGTTCATATTTTGTGGCATTTAGAAGTGCAGAATTGCTTCTGTTTCTAAAAAGTGTAAGTGACAGAAAGATTAAACTGATGGTTTTTTGGTTGTTTTGTTTTTTTGTTGTTTTTTTTTTAGCTCGTATTGTAAAAACAAACTTAAGATGTACAAAATAGGCCTGTTATGTAAAAACAGCTTGAGGGCAGAACCATTCATGAATTTCAATAGGTGGCATACAAGGCTTCACCACGTGGGGGCGTAGTGGGCCTCCTGTTCCTGCAGATGTGTGGCTCTCATATTAGACGCCTCCTTCCTGAGCTGATGACTCATAACTAGTGCAGGAGCTTTTTATTTATTTATTTTTTTTTATTTTTTTCCATGAACCATGACAGAGTATGAGGATATTATGTTTCACATCCAGATAATGTGGGGAATCACTGGTTTTATTAAATTGCACCAAGCACACATTCGTGTAGCTCAAAGCCTGCTTCAGTGTAACTGGCATCCTTAATCAGATATGGGTAATTAAAGATAATAAAAATAATAGAGCAGAGATATTTTCCTGCTGGTGATCATTTGATCCGTAGTTTATTTAAGAGTTGTGTGAGTGATCGCCACATTTGCTCGAAAATTGCCCTGATATCACTCCTGCATGCAGAAGAATACCATGAATGAAGCCGATGTTTGTCTCCCATCTGTTTCAGCTTGGAATTTATCCCGCAGAACATCTGCACATGACCGCCGTTTCCGCATCCATCCGCCACACACGCATAAAAGCCCTGAAAGCAGCACTTGACCTGAAAAACCCTCCGACTCCGTGAAGCACAGATGGTTTTGATCCTCTCCACTCTGGGAGAATCGCTTTGAATTCACCTTTAAAGCAAAATTTGTGGTAAAAACAGGAATGAAAGTGGAGTATACGTACTGTTTTACAAAGCGGTTCTTAATCAAAAACTCAAGTTGCACTCTGCATGCATTCAGATATGCTGACCTTGGATCAGTTGCAGATTTTACTTGTGGGTTTTTGATCCCTACAAGAGTTGTAGGCAGGAGCGAAGCCTCGTACATCTCCTGACCTCTTTGTCACACTTCATTTCCCTCCATATATACGTGCATGCTGGCTTCACGGCTTCTTATCTCGGCAAGTGTTGTAGAGGGTTCGTCTGAAGCGGCAAATCGTGTAGGTATGAAATGCCACAAGCAGAGTGTGTGTGCGTGTACATGCGTGTGTATGTATTAAAAAAAAAAGAAAGAAAAACTCAGGCTGCATGTTGGAGGCAGGTGCAGACATGGTGATGCAGTGTAGCGTGGCGATAATATTATGTTGGTTGCTGTGTAATCAGGTAATGCTTGAGAGGGCCTGTGGGTGAGTGAATGTGTTTGCAGGTTTTAGCTCCATTCCTCTCTGTGTTAATCCTGATGCCATGCACATCTGTGACACCCCTCCGCCCCCCCAACCACCTTCACCACCTCCCCTGCTGCCGACCCCACTCACGTGTGCTCACAGATCCGCTGCATGGCTGGATTCCCACTGCAAGCATCTCACTGCCGCTCCCCATCCTCCCCCCCTCCCTCTCTCTCCAGACTCTCTATTCATAATTCTCCTACATCATTGTACGTATTAGTAATAAACCACACAGAGACGCTCAGGAGGAATATGCCCTTTGTGAAAGACACACATGTATAAGGCTGTTTTGGAAACAGCCTTAAGTTTCCAAAACAGGAAACTTGAGACACATGTTTTAGGAATGTGCCTTATCTTGTAATGTCATTTTGTTCATAGGTCACGTCACTCTTCATGTTGGAGGTAGGTGCAGACATGGTGATGTACTTAACATAACCAGTTAAGTGGACTCTGACTTATAAACAGTTTAGGTTCATTTGGATTCTGACCAACTGTACTTTAGATTTGGGCTTGTGAATTCAAAGTCACACCTGGATCGCAAAAACTATCAAATTTAGATGTGTGCTAAAACCCACGGACTAAATCATAGACTGAAACAGTTTAGGGTCATAGATACGGTGTAGTAGGCAGGACTAAATAACCTAACGCCTTCTATCTTTGCTCATTTTATACCACTAACTACATACCTGTTTGTTAGATCTCTTGCAACAACAAACATCTAGTGACAGAGCCAAGATAGTCACAAGCGCTGTGGAGCCCCTAAGATTCCAAACTTTTCCGACCTATGTTTTCTCAGCAGGTGTTATAAGATTATGGATACTTCAAAACAAAATATGTACCTTGTCTGTATTAATGTCTTGTCATTTGCATGTTCTACAATTCATAAAACAAGATAAGGCTGATTTCAATGCGTTTTAAGCATCTTGACTGACTTTTTGCACTTGTCACACTTTGTACTTCAACAAATCTCTCACACAATCCAACTGCTACACTGTTTATAAGTAGAAATCATATCATTACGTTGTATTTCTAGTTGTATTTAATCTATTAACTGAGCATATACATTGACAAAACCCTCTGCTTTTCAAACGTTGAACTGGAATAGTCTTAGCTTGAGAACAACCACCAATACAATCATAAGTACCACAGCTGACTACCGTAACAGGTGCACCTCAACAATAGAACATAGAATGTCTTTAAAGTTTTATTGTAGTTATTTAAATTTGGATGATCATAGCTTGTAGCTAATGAACATATTAAATAGTCAGAAAATTATATATGGTCTATAAAAATGCATGAATGATTGCATGTGTTTGAGTTGTTGAGTAATTTTAATAGGCCTGCTGCCACTCCTGGGAATGTTCTATTTCTCCATTTGTTGATTGTTGTGGTTGACTGGAGTCCTAACAACTTAAAAATAGCTCTACAACTCTATCTAGGCTAATAGATGACAAATACTTTGCTTCTTAAATTTCTTTTGCATGATGTTCTGGTTTTTGAGTCCTACTTCCTTTTGTCAGACAGGTTCTTTTTACTTCTTTGATATGATTGATAAAATCCAACTTAAATTTAGTTAATCACAAATAATTGATTATGAGTAAATATTTTATTTGCACAACTTGTTTTCTATTTTTTTTTAGTGTGACAAAAAAGGCAAAAAAAAAATAGCTTAGAACAAATTTTGTAAGGGATAACTATTTTTTTTCATAGCACTGTATGAGTTTTACTTCAAAAAGTAAACTTTTACATGATATTGTTATATAGGATCCATCCGGGGGGAATAAAACAAAGGGAAAGCAGTTTCTCCCTAATAAAGGAATCTCAAACAGATTTCATTCAGATATTCCAGACTTCGTGATCATTCTGCTATGACTTTAAATTGTATGAACAAACTCCTCCCCTCGACTCGCTCTTCTGTCATCTGAAAAAAAAAAAAAAAAAAGTAAAGAGAAAAAAAACTCGCATGCATCGGAATGATAAAAACGACAATGTGCTCGCTGAACCCTGGTACGGTGTGGAGCAGCTGAAGTTGATTAAGACTTTTCTGGCAATAAAAGACTGACATTAAAGTGCTAGTAGAAGTGTTTAGAAACTCTTCGACTCGCTGGGACAGCTCTCACTTACTGACTGATGGAAAGAGAGAGGAGGCAAAAGGGGAAATCTTTTCGCTCAAGCAGAAGCGCCATGGACTGGCGGAGCAACATTTAACGCTTCTTTTTTTTCCTTCTTCTAATTGTTTTGGGCGCAATGACGGACTAAGCAAAGTATTCGCGTGCTTGCGTGTAGCATGAGACTGAGTGCGATATGTCTAACGCGAGGCCGAGTAAGAGCGTGGAATGGCTGCAACTGGAGTTGGAGACCGGAGGCACTTCTCTGCTCCTGCTGGACTGCCGCTCACACGAGCTGTATGAATCATCCCACATAGAGACCGCCATAAACCTGGCCATGACGGGACTCATGCTGCGGAGGTTCAAGAAGGGCAACATCCCGATCCAGACCGTCATCCCCAAACACGAGGACAAGGAGAACTTCGTGAGGCGGTGCAAGACGGACACGGTGGTCCTGTACGACGAGAGCTCCGCGGACTGGCAGGACAGCGGCTCCCCGGCCACCGTGTTGTTCCTGCTTCTTAACAAACTGCGGGAAGACGGGTGTAAAGCGTACTTTCTTGAAGGTAACGATTTTTAATGTCAGTATAAGCTTAGAAACGATTAAATTATTCGTTAAGGACATGTGTTTGGGATGGATTGACCAGTGCAGTTTGACACTTAGCGCTGTGTAACTGTAAACTAGACCGGGAAAAAAAAAAAAAAAGAGAGAGAAAAAATCATTTTAAATGTTTCCCATTTGGACGGCTGTTCGTTTTTTCGTTCGTTAAAGTGTGTGTATGTCTCTGTTATTATTATATTGTAGAGATTGACTTGTGAGCTCATCCTGTGTCGTGTGGTTGTAGTTTGAAAGCTTCTCAAAAGTTTCTGTCACTGCTGAGATTCTCAATTAAAATTCCAAAATGGCTGCGGCATGTTTTGCTCCAGCAGGAACAGACAAGTATTTCATGAATGGTCCGTCTCGGTGGTGTTACACTTCACAGTACCATAAATAATTATGTTTTTTTTTTGTTGTTTTTTTTTTGCGTTTACCTTTTTTGATAAGTATGGGCTGTGTCTGGTATTGTATCTAAATCTGAGAAAAGCAGGATTTTTTTTTTCTCGTGTGTGTTGCTGCTCACTTTTGGTCAGCTGGCTGAAAGAAGGTAAATGTCACAATAACCTGTTTGTGGTAGGTTTTACACTTAAACTTTTATCTGATTGTGACATTAAGTAGTTGTGCTCCCTCTCATTTATTTATTCACACCACCACTCAGCTGGTTGAAACAAGGTTATTACGCTTTTCTTTTGCTTACAAAAAAGAAAAAAAATGGCTTACTGGAATTATCTCTGGGAAAAAGAACGACTGATGTGGTGTGGAAACTATATGTGAATCAAAATAACAATAAATGTTATAGATTAGATTATTCCAACTCTACTAATATGTAGTAATACATTCGTGGCTATGTTATATTATTGTATATGCAGTAGAAATAAATGCTACTTTTCTGTTTTTAAATAAAGTAGTCAAATAATCTATTATGTGTTTGATAGACATATTAATATACAAATAGCTTGAATTTATTTTAATATGTACACAAGATACATTTCAGTGACGATATCTCTTTTCCATTTCAGTTTTGAAAGATTATAGTTTTATGATCTAAGGACTAAAAATACTAATCCAAAACATATTGTAATTGTTATCTGTGTTTTGACTGAAAAAGTCAATTGCATTTAGACATTTAAGTAAGTTGGAGTATTTAGTTTTAGCACATAGTTTGACATGCAGAAATAGATAATTTCCAGAAATTGTAAAATTCCATTTTCTGACTGTTTCACTGGCTCGCTGTGGACTAAAATAAATCTTTTTAGACATAATTTATCTGTGTTTGCATTTCTATTCAGGTGGTTTTGTGAAGTTCCACACAGAGTACCCAGAACACTGCGAGACCCTCCTGGACAGCTCCTATCCGAGCTCCTCTCCCCCGATGCCCGTCCTGGGCTTCGGAGGTCTCCGGATCAGCTCGGACTGTTCAGACGGCGAATCCGATCGAGAGCCCAGCAGCGCGACGGAGTCAGAGGAGAGCCCCGTCCCCAGCAATCAGCTAGACTTTCCCGTCCAAATCCTACCTTACCTCTACCTGGGCTGTGCCAAAGACTCCAGCAACTTAGACGTGCTGGGCCAGTACAACATCACGTACATCCTGAACGTCACGCCTAATCTGCCCAACGTGTTTGAGCACAAGAGCCAGTTCAGATACAAGAAGATCCCTATTTCGGATCACTGGAGTCAGAACCTGTCCCAGTTCTTTCCAGAAGCTATATCATTTATTGGTAATTATTATGTTTTACTGTCGATTTTAAATTCATTTTTGCTTTGCAAGTCTAACTGGTTTGGACATTATTTTGGTGGTAATTTTAGACC